AGGGAGACATAAGACATCAATCAGTATGTGTAAGCTGTACACTGGTTCTGTCAGGTAAGACAGGACAGCCTGAGGCGGGGACTTCCAGGTCATAAGTAGATAACAGACAAAAGGTTGCATTCTTTTGAGTCCTTGATCAGCCTTCCACTGAATATACAATTTAGTGACTCAGTGAATCTGGATTTTTACATTAACAATATGGCAGAAGAAGCAATCGGATATGCATTTGTCTCCGGTAAGCCTCAGAGATGACTCTGAGTTTTGTCTGTCCTTTGTCCATGAGGAATTTCAAGGAGGGAGGTACGTAACAAACTTTTTAACTTTGTAGCTGTTAATAGCTTATTTAGGGATAAAATGGGAGGCAGGTTTGCTTGACATAGTTCCCAGCTTGACTTTTCCCTTGGCTCAGTAATTTTGGGGTCCCAAGATTTATTTTCCTTTCACACACTCGATGCCTTGAGTTGAGATTTGAGAATCAAGGTTTATTCTCTCTTAAGTCATTCAATACCCTTGGAAACAACCACCTGACTCCATATTGCTATTAAACTGTTCCATGGTGGCTCCTAACCAGTCTCCGAGGGCCTTATCCTCAGGGGGTTCGTGGATCCTGGTGACTAAAGACAGCCTGATAAGCTCTTTGGTCACTGGAGCTGTGAGCTTTCCATCCAGAATACAGAGGGATGTGGCACCACCTTTCATCCTACCCAGACACAACAACCAATTCCAAAGATCCCACATTTCCTTGAAAGTCTTTTGCCTACCTCTGGTACCAATCCTGATAGTAAAGTTTTTTTTTTTTTTTTTCTCATTTGTAAGCAACAACAACAAAAAAATCTGTGACCCTAGTTAGCTTAAAGAACTAAGAATATATTGGAACAGAGCCTAGGATAGTTTACAGTTTTAAATGAACTGTTAAAGAACCAGACTCAGGAAATAGGATATCTCTGATAACCTCCTTAGAGAGCTTCAATAAAAGCCACCCAGTCGTGATGACTTTCAGCCTTTGTGTCTCTCCATTCAAGTTCCAAATTCCCATGAGAAAATCTGGACTTGCTTGGCTTGGTTTAGGTCTTCCCATATAAACTATGGTAGTAAGGTAGGGTCCCAAAGCACAAACATGACCCCAGAGGCTGTTTCCAGAAAAGGGAACTGTGAACCAGGCAGCTACCCCAATACAAGTCTACTTCAATCACCATGTTTGCAAGCATCTGTTTTGCAACTGGAAAACAACAAAGTAAAGGGCAAAAAGGCACGAAAGACATTGTTTAGTCAAACAATTTTAATCTAGTTAATGGTAAACAGTAAAAGTGTAATTACATGGAAAGCTCCATATTTTGCATGTTTACACTGTTCTTCATCGTCTTTACTTGTAAGGTGTTGAAGGTGGGATCCACTCCTGAATCTTCTTTCTAGTGGTGGAATAAGGTACATATTGTTCTGGGGTGCCAGTCACGTTGAATTTATGGGTTGTCCAAATGAATTTACGAGAAGTAAGTGGTTTTACTGTTGGAGGATCATCAGTCATACTGTGAAGCCAACGATGCCTTAAAGAGGGGGAAAAAAACCCAAACAGTTATGAAGAGGCAAAACAGCACAGTAGAAGGAGGGTTAAAAACGTAGTCCTGGAACGATTCTGTTGCTTGGGTTCAAGCCTGAGGGCCATCACTTACTAGCTGAATTTTTCTATGCCTTAGTTTTTTTCCATCTGAATATCCCTATTCCTCAAGGATGGTATAATGATAGAAGGAGACAATATACATAAAGCACATAGAAAAATTCTTATGTGTGGCAGATACTCAACAAATGTTAGCTACTGTTCTCATTACTGCCTTTTTTTCTTCATTTTCTTTCATTCCTTCTATTTTTTTTTTTTTTGGAGACAGGGTCTCACTCTGTCACACAGGCTGGAATGCAGAAGCACAATCGTGGCTCACTACAGCCTTGAACTCCTGGGCTCATGTGATCCTCCTACCTCAGCTTCCTACGTAGCTGGGACTACAAGAGCATGCCACCATGCCTGGCTAACGTTTAGAACATTTTTGTAGAAATGATGTCTCACTATGCTGCCCAGGTCGATCTCGAACTTCTGAGCTCAAGAGATCTTCCTGCTTCAGCCTCTCAAAGTGCTAGGATTATAGGCATGAGCCACCATGCCTGGCCTATTACTGTATTTTATCAAATCTGACACCATCCATTTTCAGACATGCCATTATTTTATCTCCCTCTAAGAAAGAAAAGATGCTACCAAATGAATTATGGCACACTACTGATTATAATACGTATTCCAATTTTAGATGTAAAAATGTATTTTAGAATTGATAAAATACAGTACTACTATTAGGTGCTAGAGGCCGATTCTAGATTTTCAGTATGCTCAGGTTACTCTGGCTCATGAAGGTCTAGTTTAAAACCCATGAGGCTCCTGCTGAGAAGAGTCTCTGATGCATTGTAAATTCAAGCGTGTGAATATAAACACTAGAGAATATGCAACTTGTTATATTAAAAATTTAAACTTGTTATATTAAAAAATTAAATCAGGGCCAGGCACAGTGGTTCATGTCTATAATCCCAGCACCGTGGGAAGACGAGGCAGGAGGATCACTTGAGACCAGAAGTTCGAAACTAGCCTGGGCAACATGGTGAGACCCTGTCTAAAAAAAAAAAAAAAAAAAGTTGAATCAGCCCCCAATTCACAAATATTTCAGTCATAAGTGCTTAACAATTTAATTTAAGAGGATATTTTCCAGAAATCAGACCTAAAAGCTGGATACCTGGAGTTGAAAGAGAAGAGACCAGTGATATTGCTGCTAATGACAGGGAAAGGAGGAATCAGTTTGTGGAACAAAGAGTGCGATCAAGCAGGAAGCTAAGCTGAGGGGTTTATATGGGAAATAAGGGGAGAGTGAATTCGTACCAGCCCCTAAGACCTGGAGCTCACAAGACAGAGACGACCCTATTGTGGCGGAGGGCAGAATGAGGGGACAGCCACAGAACTGCAGCCCCAAGGGGGAAAAAAGGTGATTATCTAGCTTCAGAGAAAAGGACAAGAGAAGGATGTTTCAGTGGAATAACTAAAACTAAAGCTAATGAGAAAAATTTTTGTTGCTATGTAAGCCTAAGAATATTTGCTAGCAGTAATTGATAGATCCTGCTAGGTAATTGGCTAAAATCCAGTCTGAATAGAGATAAAATATGATTACAGTTGCTATATTTGTATCTAAAGATAACTGTATCATGATCAGCTTATACAATGAGGAATGCAGAAGGCTGTACAAGCTAGGTCAGTGTCTGTCTTACAACCTCTAAAGGAAGCTGGGGATTAGTGAAAGTGACCTGGACCAATAAACCATAACCATTCTTATGAGTATATGAGTGCTGAAGCCCTTGTGAGCCGATGGTGGTGAGCCATGCTCTACTAGCCACTCAGAGGAGGGATTAGCTGTTAAAGTCAAGGCTGTCACTTATCAGGGGGCTTTGCGAGCTTAAAGCACAGAAATACTTAACTTTTACCTTGTTGAGTCAGCTTAACTAAAGAAAAATTTTATTCAAAAAATTGCTGTCAAGACTCCTGAAGATTAAAATGATATTTAAGGAACCACAGTCCTAAGCTTATGCCTATTCAGTTGCTTAAGTGAGGAACTGAAGAGCTCATGGAGAAATGGAAAATGCTCCAAAAAAGTAAAAGATAATTTTTATCACAATACACAAATCTGAAATATTTATCCTGGCACGTCTACATGCAAGAATCAGGGAATGAATAAATAATAAACTATACCCATTATGGCAGTTTATAAAGAATTATAAGAAATGTTTAGAGTCTGCTAGGCAAATATAACCCTGTTGCTATTATTATTAAATAAGGGGTAAACAAATCATATCTTTCAGAATGCCACACAAGAGTTTTATTTTTTTTTTTTTGAGACAGTCTCACTCTATGGTGCAGGCTAGAGTGCAATGGCATGATCTTGGCTCACTGCAACCTCTGCCTCCTGGGCTCAAGTGATTCTCCCCTCAGCCTCCCAAGTAGCTGGAATTACAGGCATGTGCCACCATGCTGGGCTAATTTTTAAATTTTTATTTTTTTTTTTTATTTATTTTTTTTTTATTTTTATTTATTTTTATTTTTTTGAGACGGA